GAGAGAGAGAGAGAGAGAGAGAGAGAGAGAGAGAGAGAGAGAGAGAGAGAGATGGAGGGTCATTTTTTAAATAAAGATGCATTTTACTATTTGAAAGTGAAAACATAAAAACACCTGATATGGATGTTGCAGAGAGGACAGTTGCTCCACGCTCACAGCCTCACATCTGTCCTGTGATTCACGGCTTGTCATTGGTCCATCCAGGAACTGCTCGATGCTCTGGATCTGCGCCGCTGTGCCCGAGGATCTCCTCCGCTGCAGCGCCTCCTCGCTGAGGCCCAGCTGCTCAGACAGGTAGGAGATGTACCGGATGGTGAGGCGCAGCGTCTCGATCTTGGTCAGGGTCTGCCCCGGTGGCGCCACAGAGGGCGGGAGGTACGTCCTGAGGTGATTCAGAGCTCGGGTCAGGTCCCTCATCCTCAGCTTCTCCCTCTCACTGGCAGTCTGCCGCTTCTTGCCTGGATACCTGGACCTGGACTCCTTCACGGGGGCAGCGGTTGCAGAGACGGATCCGGGACAGATCTGATGGGCAGAGTGAGGCCCCGCTGCGGTGCCGAAGAAGAAACTGTCCAGAGCGTCCGGGTCATTTCCCAAAGACTGCAGGGAGATGGGGGAGAAGCAGAAGGAGTCCACGGAGGAGGTGGGAGACAGGCTGCCGCAGGCGCTGACGTAGCCAGGGTCCGAGGACCGATCGTGGAGCAGAGATTTTTCTAGCAGGGCCTCGTAGTCGAACAGCAAAGAGCTCTCCTGGAACTGGACGGAGGAGTAGGACGTCTCCATGGGTCTGCAGCTGTGGCTGGTGCTGATCTCAAAAGGACTGGCTGTCAGTGCTTGAACGGGATAATGAGGAGGGGCTGGGAGGCTGCTTCCTATATGTAGTGAGAGGTGCGAGGTGTCACCTTTGGTCCTGAGAAGCTGCGGGAGCAGGGATGACACCCAGACCGGGGGGTCCCATGGGAAACTGGCATGCTTCAGGACCAAGTGTGACCTGGGAGCTTGTGCGAGCATCGTAAAGCACAGATCCATTCTCGGAGCGCCTGCAGCTGGTTAACGTGACCCCGGGCCTGTACTTGGAAACCACAGGTCTGGATCTGAACCTGAGACTCCTTATTCATTCACTGAAGCACCCAAATGAACCGTTATCTAAAAAAATCTGCTTCAGTTCTCCACAAAGTTTCCTTAGGGTTAAGCAAACACTGCTCCCCATCGCTTCCTGCTTACAAGGCCAGAAGTGTGCCGAGGCAGCTGGGAGGTGTGAAGGATTTGCACCTTCGTCCCATTTGGACAGCAGAAGGCCTCGAGTCTCAGAGCCCAGATGGGTGTGTGTGTGTGTATATATGTGTGTGTGATATTTTACTAAAAGAAAAATGTCATGCCCCAAAATATCCTGATGCATCACAATAATCCAGGTAGAAAAATCTTAAAGAAATGGAGTAGGTCCTCTGGATGGGTTCTTCTTCATTGATTCTGTCTCTTCTCCAAAAGACTTCTTCAGTCTAAATACACAACAATCTGGACATTTTCATCTACAAATCCATGCTTTTCCTGCACCTCTAACATCTCCGTTAACAAACGTAAAGGTTCTTCACGTGGTGCCGGCCGTGTGGCGCCCTCTGATGCTTTAAAGTTTCACCTGCATCGTGGAGCTGAGTCCCGAGCAGCGTTCCCACAAACCACAGCGTCACATTTGCCTCCTGCTCCGCTGCAGAGGTGAAACCTTACGGGCCGGAGGTGTCAACTTATCTGACGCAACTTTGCACCGCCACACTAACGCAAGGAAAACAGGCATTTGAGTTCAAAATAACAACCCAAACAGGATTTCTCTGCAAGACTGGAAACCTGCTGTTTTTGTCTTTAAATAAATGTTCTCAGAAACATTTAAAAAACATTTAAAAAAAACGACTCAAAGATCAACTCCAACAGTAACCTTTGACATTTCTGCTTCATTCTGAGATGCCTTAAATTGTCTGCAAAGCATGATTTTCAGCTCTTATTTTTGATTTTGAACTGCTCTATCAGAGGATCCCCCCTCTGCTGATCCACACGAACCCCTACCCATGTTTACTTACAYGTAATGAGAGAATAATCAGCACGGAGCTGCTGTCCCTTTCATCCTCGAACCCTCGGATGAGAGAGTTTATTAGCTTTGTCATGATGACAGACTTAAGTGAGTATATTAGGCTGCTTGCCGCTTGCATATCAAATGAACTGCACGTATGTGTCAAACTAAACACCAGGGCCTAATTCTCCAAGCCTGATATGCAGAGCCACACTCCTTAATAAATATTAAAGCCCTCTCAGTTGGATTTGGCAGGTAATCAGGGCAGGAGGTGGGAGAAAAGGCGAAGAACAAGGAGGGACTGCAGTCTAGACTTACTGGTGCCAAGGATCTCTCTGCGTTTGCTGTGCTCCGGTAACAAAGAAACACTAAATAAACTTGATCAACTGGAACTGGTCTCTGCTCTATAAATAAACTACACACCTCTACTTAGGAATAAAACCTGGTTATACATGGAAACAGAAAAACAAGTATTTGTGAGTCATGTAAAAGCTGTTTGATAGAAATCAGTTTTAAATTTACCCATTAAAAACAAATCTGATGACAGAAACACTATCACACACACACACACACACACACACACACACACACACACACACACACACACACACACA